ATCATGATTAAGAAAAATTCAAAAGAAAGAACTTAATTAAATGGGCTGTTAGTGAATGGTACAGGAACTGTCACATACGAAGAAAATTGTTGAGATATGTAGGTATTGGTTTAGTCACGTGTCATATAGTTGAAAAACATACAGCATACATAAATACCAAATGATTAGTACTCGTTCATGAACTTATCCTTCAGTTAAAGGGATAGGCAGATTTTCATACATACCACTCAATTCTTATGTATTTACATACCTAACACCAAAATTCCTATTTTTACACACATTATCTATCCATGAAAAGGTGTATTTCACTTTTTAAAAAGCTAACATGGCATTATTTTTTAAGGGCAAAAACATACAGACCACCTGAAACTTACTATTTATAAATCAACCACCCTCTTTCATCCATTTTTCAAATTCTGACTCAAATATCAAAATACATGGTAAAACCCCAACCCATATCTTTCCTTTTTATCAAGTCCTCGTGGCACGCAGAAATACATCGGTTCTGTAGTTCAAAAAAGTCATCTAGGTGGTTAATTTGTAAATATCAATGTTGCGGCAGGTCTATATGTAATTATCACTTGTTTTATGTGATATGAAAGATTTGGGTGGTATAAATGTAAAAAAGCAAAGTTTAAGTGTTAGACATGTAAATACATGGAATTCTATGTAAATGCCCCAAAATCATATTTGATCACAAGTAAATCAGATCTACAATAGTGGAAGTATGAACACTCATCTGGGCTCCGACATTGACCACATTGTTTATCAATGGTTGCAGACCCTACAGCATCCAAGGAAATCACGATGAAATAGAGAAGAAAACAAATTTACACAATCATGAAATAGACAATTTTTTATTAGACTACTCTAGTCTCCCACCAGTAGAATTGAGATAGGCATAGGGCCACAGCAATAACGTGGAAAAGACATCACACAAACATATGGTATAGCGGTTTCCACGTGTGCTCCAATTTGTGTTTTATCATGACACTGTCAAGAACAAGTCATTTTCTCACAAATAGTGAATGGCTGGCTGGTTGTTAATGAGATGGCCTTAGCTAGATGCAAGCGCAAATTAGCAGAAATATTAAATACCACCAAATTCCTATGTATTTACGTATCAAACACTTTAATTTTACTTTTTTACAGTTATACCACCCTAATCTTTCGTATCGTATAAAAAATACCACCATTTTAACTTTTAAAAAGTGAAATACAACTTTTCATTGATAGGTAAGATGGCATACATTGAAAAATTAAAGTGTAGGTGCTAGATATGTAAATACATAGGACTTCAGTGGTATGCAGGTATTTCTTCCAAAAAATAAAAAAATAAATGGCATATGAGAAAATATATTTTGTGCGTCCATCGGAGAGGAATAGGAGAGAAATTAATACAAGTTCAGCTTGGTGAGAAATATTTGCGTACGGAAAGCGTACGCAGAGTTGCGTATATTTTAGGTTATTCGGAGGTACAACTAGGTTACACTTAGGTTACAAGAAGAATTACAAGAGGGTATAACTTAAGTATAACCTATTTGTACCATCCGAATAACCTAAAATGTACGCAACTCTACGTATGCTTTTCGTACACAAATATTTATCCAGCTTGACATCTCTCCAATGCCTAGGAGCCATTTTTGGTGCATTAAATAATTTAAGCATTTGTGAACTGAGTGCCAAGGCCCCATTCTTTTGTCCAAATACAGGAGTGGGGGTCCAGGATGCAATCTGCAATCCACTGAAACCCGTTTATTAATGTTCTTCTATTTTGTTTGAAAAATCTTAATTTTTAGTTGCTGTATTAGCATTTTAAGGAGAGAAATAACTAACTTGCCATCTATTTCAAAAATTAAGCAAAATTTACAAGCAGGCATGGGTTTAAACTTTAAACATTCAAAATTTGAAGAGAACCAAGAGGCGGGAAAAAATCTAGAACCAAATGTTTCATGATGAGTCGGAAGACTATTGCATCGTTACTACAAATGCAAAAGCAAATACCTTATGTTGGACTAAGATTCAAAATGCAGAAGTATGACATGAAAAATAAGAATAACAATCATTCAAAAGATTAATCACATCATAAAATTAAGAATACATATTTACCAAATACACGGGCACCTAAAGAGAGATATGTAAGAAAAATTTTCGACTTTACCTTTTGCCCAAATGAGAAATTTGACTATTTAAATAGATCTCTTCCTCTATGGGTTTTACATATAAATTGTGTAGCTCTAACTTAACATGTGAATCTTCTTTCAGCTTCCAAATTTGTGCTATAAATTGAGACAAATACTAGGAATGATAATAGCCACACTGGATCAACCACTATGACTTCAATGTAATTCAACGAAATCAAGGGAATTATGTAAATAGGTTTAAACAAACAAAACAACAAACCCAAACTTAGGTTGCGGATCCATCTGCATTGGGGGTGGGATAAAGGGGAATAACAAAATGTGAAAGTGGGGATCACCCAATCCACGTTTCTTCTTTTCCCATCTTTATGTTTGGAAGGTGAATGAGAATGGAGGAAGAACTGAATGAAGGTAAAAAGAGCCAATGGAAGGATTGTGTTGGAAATAAAGCCGAAACGTAGTACAGCACAGTACAATTATTTGATTGGCGGTTTCATGACATAAGGTTAAGAAAATGGGTAAAACAAATAGCATTTCATACTTAATTGATAAATCCCAAAAAGATACTCTTGATCAAGCATGAATCTCGATGAACATTAGGACTGAAAACTTTAAAATCTAAATTATGGATTGTCTATACTCAATAATCAAATGGAATGCCTCGATACAAACCAAATGACAGTAAAAGTGAATTGATCTGAGTCCAAGTGAGCCCAAATCATGAATTTAAAGAAAAATAAGAAGCTTTACGACAATTTGGAGGATCAAATGTCTCAAAATTTGGCAAACTTAAAGTTAAATCGAGTGTCAAAAACAGACAAATCCAACGAGCCTAAGATAACTTAATTTAAATATCATTAAAGCACCCAAATATTCATAAAATATTATCTAATCAAGATAACTACAATGGACATTCTGATGAGTGGTTTGGATTAAAGTACACTTTACAAAGAATGTCACTCCCAAAATTTATAAATAGACCCCTATTATCTTTACAAAGGAGGACCTGGATGAGAAGACTGAAGGGAGGTCAAAATTCTTGAGGATACTCGAGCTCCACCACCGCAAGCCACCTTCATCGAGCCACTGTCATCGTCGGATTACCATCACACGATCGCCGCTACCTTTGCCATCAAACCTCTGTCGTCGGCATTGGATCAGTGTCGCTCAGCCACCACCACAATAGTTGCCAAATCAGTCGTCGTCATGTCTCCTTTACCTAACTGCTGCCAACGGATCACCGTCATCGCTATCGTCACCATCAAACACCATTATCGAGTTGTCACCACCAAACCACTTTCGTAGAACCGTCACCACCAAACCATCATTGCTTGGTTTTCTCCACTACCAACACCAAACCATTGTCTCTGGGCTGACATCACAACCCTTGTTGTTAAACCGCTATGGTTGAAACACTGTCACTTGGTCATTGCAGTCACTATCGTCAAACCATTATTGTCAATTCACTACTACCGTTGGCGAAATTGACATTAGATCTCCATCACACATCCCCATCGTCAAAATTCCATCATAACAGTCAGGTCGCTGTCACCACCCTTATAATATTATTTTATATTATTCAGGGGCAAGCAATGTCTTGTAAATTATATATGCATATAATGGAACAATTTCAACAGTGTTAAGCTCAATGATTTTTCCCTTTCGGTTTTTCAACATAAAAATATTGAGCGACTCTTGCACTTCATTTCATTTATTTGTGAGAGATATTCGCGCAAAACTAAGCCAATAAAACACCTATCCTCTACCGCCGCGAATAACACTGGTAACCCTTTCCCCGTAGATTAACCTTACACTAAAAAAGATACCTACTTAAGCTTTTATTTGTTAGCTTAAAACTGAAACAAAACTTTAAAATCTTATGGACGGTACAAAGTATTTCACCATGTTTCATTATTTTGATAGTTAAAATGATTAAAATTAAAATAGTGTTTTTATTCCCTATTAAATTTTCAGATTTTATCGTGGGGATCAGAATATTAAACACTCCAAAAATAATTCTCATAGTTAAATTAGATTAAATTATTTAGACCATCACTTTGCCCAGTCGGATGCCTAGGCTTACGCCGCTATGGTAGGGATGTAAACAAGTCGAGTGGAGCCCGAGTCACCCTTAGCTAGAGCTTGATTAATTTTATCAAGCTCAAGTTTAAGTCCAAGCGTTTGAGCCGGCTTGTTTATTATAAATGAAAGAAAATAATATTAATTTAAAGTAATGTTATAACAAAATGATAAATAGAATGAGCAATTATGAGAGAAAAAAAAAACACTTAAAATTAAATACAAAATTTTATTTTTTAAACATTTTTATTACAAATTTAATATATTTTGAGTATATTTTATATATATATTTTTAAAAGAGCTAGCTCACGAGTGAACGAGTCGAGTCGGAGCTACTTTGAGCATGGCTTGTTAGCTCATCGAGCTCCGTTCATGGGGCACTTATCGAGCCGAGCTCGAGCCAACTCATGAGTCAGCTTGACTCACTTACACCCCTACACTATGCCTAACACTGTAGATATTAAAAAAACAACTCACTTTAAAGGCACCTAATATCTTTAAAAACACAGATCTACTACAATGAATTTCCAAGAGGCGATACGACAAAGATGGGTACGGAGGCACCACAAAATATCATTAACCTTATAGCAAGCAGATTGATGGTGATTCTACTAATGCCAAAAATCTCCAGCAATGCTGGAAAACCATTGAGAGGTGAAACCACATGCTCTATTTAAAGAAGATTAGAGAATTTATGTAACAATAACTTGTCAAATTAAAAGTGATGTATCCATAAAACTCAGCCACGCAACACTACAAAATAATGAAGCCAAACTTACATCTATATTTTACATCAATTAATCATTATAAATTCACATTACCAATATGCTGGGTACTGCCAGGATAGTGAACTGAAACACAGCAAGATGTAGAATGATAGACTTGAGTGTGAGAAAAAATTCACTGCTGATTTCAGGTTCCAATACATGCTTATATAGGAGGGTTTGTTACAAAGGAAGTACAATTGATCTAACTGACAGGAGGTGGGATTTGATGAAGTTTGTTATGAAGTGGTAATATGCACTTGGTTGTTTCAACAACCTTTTGTGTTCTATGTATAAAAGGGATAACTCAAATAAATCAAACTTTTAGGGTCATATGCGAGATGAGATAAATCCATCCAAATTGAAGAAAAATAGCATAACAACCCAGCTGAAGTCCCTGACGCGCAACACAATTGCACCTGAAGAAGACATTATGTATAGATATAAGATCAAATTACTCCTTAGCAAACGTTAACAACAAAAAGTTGCAAGCGACAGCTTTTTAATATTGACAGGACAATTTCATAAGATATCTCGATTTTTTTTTCGGATCTTTTACAGTATCATAAACAGACTTACCTCCTAAATCTCCGCCTACTATGACGCCAAATCTCTTTGAAGCAGAAAACCAAAGCAAGAGTCAACAGTGGCCGCTCATTCCTTCCTTCTCCAAAGTTCTAATCATCATCAAAGCATTCCTCCCAACCTTCCCTTCATCCAATTCAACCAGCATGAAGCATATGTCTTCGACCCCCTCTTGTTTTACATCCAGGCTCATCTGCACACTATCAGAACAAATCAAATTCAGAACCAAAAGGGCATGCTCAATGCCTCTTGCGCTACCTTCCCGCAAAACTCCAGCCAAAACTTTCACAAAACCCTTGACATTCCTCATAGCCTCCCGCCCTTCTCTACATTTCGCAAGCAACCCCAGGACCTCAACTGCCCTCTCGGAGCCATCACTGACAAAGCTTACTAAAGAGGGCACCGCGCCTGAGCGAACAGCACGAGGGCGATTCTCCGGGAACTTGCTGAGCTCGTAGAGCGCAGTAGCAGCCTCGCGGCGTTCCCTCCCCTTGCCGCTGCGGATGAGAGCAGAGAGGCTCGGTATAGCGAATGGTTGAGCGCCGATTGTGCACTTATTGACCTCGACCATAGCAAGGCTGGTGAGGGTGGTGGCGGCTAGGGCAGCGTTGGGGCCTCCGACAGTGAGGACATGAATTAGGGGATCAAGGGCGCCATCCGCGACCAGGCCAACGCGAGCATCGTCGCCGTCCAAGGATAGGTAAAGGAGTATGCGAAGCGAAAGACCTTGAATGTCGTGCGAATCCGAGGAAGCAGCGTGACGGAGGAGGACAGACGGAGCGCCAGAGTTGACGAGAGAGTGTCGGAAGGAGAGGTCATCTTTGGCGAGGCGAAGGAGAAGCGAGAGTGTGGCTGGGTTTGCGGGGTAAGTGAGAGAAGAAATAAGGGATTCTTTCTCCGGCAACATCGAATACGTGCGGGAGGCGCCGGCGTTGAAGGGGGAGAAGTTCGCGATGAGGGAGCGGAGGGCATGGTTAGGAATGAGAGGTGAGTGAGGGGGGAGAGGGAGCATGGTCACCGGACAAGTCCGGTGGCCTGAGTCAAGCCAACGCTGGATGGAGACGCGATCGAAGGTGTGGCCGGAGGCGAGGATCACTGGGTCACTCATCACTTGCAGTGAAATCGGGCATCGAAAGTCATCCGGGTACTCTACCTCCATGGATAGCCTGCTACTCCCCCTCTCTCTATCTCACACGCACACTTTCTTCTCTCGCCGTGCTCTGACCTTTAGCTTCGCCGGCGGCCGCCACAGAGAACAATTACAGAAAGAGTATGGCAGCGTTATGCCGAGGTTTTGGGTTCCAAATAGGAAAGGGATTCCAGAAGGGCGAGGGAAGTGCGAATGGGGTTTAGCGTTATGCTGTGCTTCGTGGAAAAAAATTGTGTTGCATCTCTTATGTCACTTCTATATAACTTTTTTTCTAGTTTATCTTAACTTATAAATAAATTTTGCTTTTCTATTTTCACATATTTATAAGTACAAATAAGTACATAAAAATTATATAGAAATTACAAGGGATATAACGTGAATATAATGTCGATATAAATATCTATTATATACGCAGCGCTGCATACATCTTACAAATTCTTTCTGTGGTTCGATGAACCTAAGCTGCTCCCCGAATTGCATAATTATTTTTTATTTATATATGTGCCTTTATATTTATATTAACATATTTATGATTCAAGTCATACACATCAAATAAAAAAAATTATTATTATTATTAATTAAAAAAATGAAATAGACGTTTTCATTTCATTTCATAAGTTCATGAGGTCAAATTATTATAAACAAAAATAAATAAATAAATATTAGTAGTTGAATATTTAAAAATTATATATAAATTTGTGTTATTATTAATATTATTGAAAGTAGATAAAATTTACTGCGCACGTAATGTTTACAGCTCACCTAATGTTGACCGAACGGTTTTAATAATTAAAAGTAAACTGTTGAAAAGAGGTGGGGGCATGAATGGCTTTTCATTGTGCTATATTACTTGGCAAAAATTAAAAAAAATAAAAAAAAAAGTATTATCCTTTCAATTAGACTATTACTCTTTGACTTCAAAAAGATGGATTGTGACAAATGTAATGATTTGATATTTATTCATATAAATTTTATGTTTCATTCATTTGAGTAATTTAATAAATTCTTTTAAAATCTTAGAGATTGAATATTTTTTGGTTCTCATTTATATTTATTTGTTGATTATTTATTTAATGAGTTATTTTATATTTTTTATTTTCTCATAACTTGAGGTATAAAATGATACAATTGTAAAAAAAATATTTAATATATAGATTAAAACTATTTTTTTTAATAAATTTTTGAACTTCATCAAATAATATAGATAAAATTTGATAAATTTATCTGATGATTACTATGATGCGAGAAAATTTTGAATAAGCATATTAGATGATGATGATTATCTGAAGTGTAAGCCTTATAAATTATATTAACTCAATTTTTTAGAAAATCCAAACAACTCAAAACCAAATATGGAAATCTCTAATTAAAAGAAGATGTGGGGTTGTTTTATATGCTAAGGGTTTATAAAACATTTTTCATGATTATCAATAATGATGAGTGTATGATATAGCATCTCACGATAAAATTACAATTGTGAGAACATTTGCATAGAGTTAAAGTCTACATTCATTGTGGCTTCTCTGTGGTTGTAATCTTTAGCTTCTATGTAAAAGTTGATTTCAGTATTTCCTCCAATTAAAATGAAAGTTATTATATGCTTTAAACTCTTGTTTTGAACTATGTAGATGTTAATTAGACATGGCTAGCAATCTAATGAGCCCGAGTGCATTATTTGAATGATTTAGGCTATGATATCATATATTTTATAGATTAGAGAAAGAAGATGAAGCATAAGACATGTAATAATGGCTAGATTACACGACGACCTTGATTAAAATAAAAGCATCCTTATTTGTTTCAAGTACTGTTTTGCTTTGTAATACTACATAGATACGATCAATTATTAATATATGTTTTAGATGAGAATGTGAAAACATGTCAATACCCCCTCAAACATAAAAAAAAGTTTTTTTTTGCACATATGAGTTTTTTTTTTAGTGGGAGCCTCGCTCAACTAAACACACTGGAATAATTATTCAGCACTTGTGAGCTATGTATTTACAAATGTTAAAATGTTAGGGGTTAATATGTACTTAAAATTTTGAGCTCTCAACTAAAAAAAGACCTTTGCAATCCATATCATTTCTCATGAACATTAAATGTTAAAAAACCTTATAATACATGCCAAAGCAATAAAACCTTTATAATATTTGTTGAAGCAATAATATTCATTAAGGTTCATGATCTATGAGGATTAAGTAATGATAAATACTTAGTTTTTTCACATAAATGCTTAGTCTTTTATGTTGAATGTATAATCAATAAGGAAATAATGTTATGGTTTAATTAGAAAAGTCAAGTTGGATAGCTTGGGACACATTTGACTTGAAAGCTTTAAAATAAGTAAAAGCAAGTTGATGAGAGCATTAACTAGCCTTGACATAGTTGATGATTTGAGAGGAGTTATCCATGATCACAAATTTAGATAATATTGGCTTAAACAAGTGTTGACACTTCAATAGATGGCATATTAGTGAACATGAGCTGATTTTGTAGTTGTGGAGTACAAATTCTTGACATCCCAATCAAAGTCATGTTGATATTCTTGATATCTCAATTGATGGTATGTTGGCAGCAGTGTTAACACAGAGCTAAGTGAAGCATATAATCATCTCAATATTCACCTAAATATTAGGGTAACTCGACTAATGATATGTACTATTGAGGTTAAACTACATTTTTTTTTAATTTCACATGAGATTTAATAATGAACAAAGCCCAATCTCAGCTCACTTAAGTAATGACAAATAAAAGTAGGGATATTGTTATGAAAGGTTTAAGGCACAAATCATTGGCACCCAGAAGCCCCAAAAGAATTCACGGACTCTACTGGAGATCAGGTAGAGGCAAAAACGAGAGCCTCCGATCATTTGTAACTCGATTAAAGAAGGAAATGTTGGAGGTGCGAGATCTGTAACCCACATTAGCGCATGCTTCCATAGCCCAGGGACTGAAAGAGGGACTGTTTTGTTATTTTTTAGGTCTCCAGCATCCAAAAACTTAAACAGAACTGTTGGAACTAGCCAACAATCATGTTTCAGTCAAGTAAATCTCTACCCCTACTTCCACCAATGCTGAGTCAGCCACCCTTCAACAACAAAAGAGGACCCCCAGAGACAAAATATGGAGATTGAGGGTGGACTCGCATCCTTCCGTTCGACCATGATACGAAGACAAATGACCGCCTCCGGACCACAGCAGGGACCAACAAGAATCGCAGTCGAGGAGGTCAGGCTCGATATCCTAAAGAATGATAAACTTGTTATCATGAGGCCCTAAAGGCCACTCCGAGAGTCTCAATGAAGGATCTTGTGAAGGCAATTTAAAAGAAGAAGCACTTTGATAAGGCTTCATCGATGAGAGTTAAAGCTTTTCTTAGAGGCACCAAAAAGTGTTGTCGAACCATGGTCATGAAACGAAAGAATGCAGACACATTTGAAGCCTGGACAAGGAGTTAATAAGAGTTGAATGCTAAAGAAATTTGTGGCACCATGAGTAATGGCTCGGAGACGGAGGAAGGCATTGATAAAAGAAATCTCGAATGAGCCGGTCTGAGTGAATGTCATTCACATTATTGGTATAATACTAACTATTATTACAGAAAGTGGAGATTCATCCTAACGATCCAGCTAGAAGACGCTTCCGTTGAGAGAACTATGCATAACCGCTTTCACTCCAGAGCACAACACCTATCCAACCATCATATTCACTAATACAAACATGCCCTCAAAGAGGAATCCTTACAATGACACCATCATTATAGCTGTCATGATAAGCAACTAACAAATCGCTAACATCTTGGTCAACACTGACACCTCAGTGAACATTATGTTCAAGTCAATATTTGACAATATGGGACTCAAGGATCACCCACTGACTGCACCGATTGAACTACTAAACAGATTCACAGACAAGATGAAGGAAGCTTTGGGAATAATTGCACTGCCGGTCGCATGAGAGGAATGTGACAAACTGTTTAGTTAAATGAAAGACTTCCTGATGGTAGATTTGACGCTGACTTAGAACCCCATCTTCAGTCGACTCCTGCTCAATGACTATAAAGGTGTGGTCTTAACATGCTACATAGCATTGAAGTTTCTTGTTGATGGGGAGATCATCATCATTCGAAAAAACTTGGAGCACTCACAGACCTACTACCTCTGAGTCGTCAAAAGTGTGGAGCAAGAGTTGCTCAATTCCAACATCGAAGTGAAGGGGGTCTCGAGACAAATGATGCCACTTTAAAATCCTTGCGGCCAACAAAAACTCATATAATTTTTTTCTAATAAGTGTGAACTTTGATGCAGAGTCTAAATACTTGTTGATACAAACCATCTAAGAGCAACGAGATGACTTTTCCTAGTAAACCATTGAAATGTCAAGAATAATGTTTGAAGTCGCCTACCACTGAATGAACATCAATCCAGTCACTTTACCATTGAAGCACAAGATAAGATTTTAGCTATGACTCTAGTTGACCCAAATCGAGAAGAGGAGCAAAAGCTGAATGAAGCCAGCTACATTCAACAGGTGCAATACCCGACGTGGGTCTCCAACATGGTGATCGTGTAGAAGATAAATGGTAAGTGAAGGATGTGTGTGAACTTCACCAATTTGAACACTATCTGCCCAAAAGACAACTATCTATTGTTGATGATCAACACATTGGTGGACTCCGTGATCGCCCATTCAACAATGAGCTTCCTGAATGTTTTTTCGGGCCATTATCAAATTAAGATGCACCCGATGATGCAGAAAAGATGATCTTTATTAGTAGTTAGGGTGTATATTATTATAATATAATGTCCTTTGGCCTTATAAATGCTAGGGCTATGTACCAACATCTCAAAAATGTAGTATTTTTAGAACAAAAAGGTGAAAACATTTGAGGTGTATGTGGATTATGTGTTATTTCAAAGTCAATTAGCCAAGAAATACATAAATGACTTAAAAGAAATATTTGAAACCCTTAGAAAATAACTTGAGGTTAAATCAACAAGAGTGCAACTTCGAGACATTAAAAAACAAATTTCTCAATTATCTCCTAATCCTCAAAAGCATAAAGGCCAACCCAAGGAAATTACAGACATTACTAAACATGACTTCTCCTTAAAACACAAATTAGGCGCAAAAGTTCGTTAATTGGATTTGAGTTTTGAGTTGGTTCATCTCCAAATGAGGCAAAAGCGTGCAGTAATCTATAAGCGCTAA